TTGGAAAATCTATCATAGCAATTCACTACAATAACAAATAAAAAAAGAAAATACATGATTATAGACGTTAAAAAGCATTTGATAAAATTTAATAGCCATTCCTGATAATAACAAACAAATTTCCTCAACTAGGTAAAGAATATCTACTAGATAGTGAAACATCAGAAGCTTTCTTATTGAAATACCAGGATGGGCTGGGCGTGATGGCTCACACCTGTAATCCCAGCACTTTGGGCCACCCACTCAGGAGGCCCAGGTGGGTGAATCATGAGGTCAAGAGATTGAGACCTTCCTGGCCAACATGCTAAAACCCTGTCTCTACTAAAAATACAAAAATTAGCTGGGCATGGTGGTGCATGCCTGTAGTCCCAGCTACTCGGGAGGCTGAGATGGGAGGATGGCTTGAGCCTGGGAGGCAGAGGGTGCAGTGAGCCGAGATTGTGCCGGTCCATTCCAGCCTGGGTGACAGAGTGAGACCCCATCTCTCAAAAAAAAAAAAAAAAAAAAAACCATCTTGAGTGGGTGTTATTTCACAAGTGTATAAATTTATTCAAAGCTCATTAAATTGTATATTTAACATCCATGCATTTAATTGTATGTAGATCTTATCATGATTAAAAACCATTAGAACTAATAAGAGAGTTTAGTGAAATGACTGTATTAAAGATTAATATGAAGTAATCAGTAACTTTGAATAACAGAAAAAAAAACTTATTCGCTATAGCAACAAAACGTATAAAACATCTTGAAATAAGCATAATAAAATATGTTCAAGACCTACATGTAAAAACCTTTGAAATTAATTAATTAATTTATTTTTATTTTTTGAGATGGAATCTTGCTCTGTGGCCAGTCTGGAGTGCAGCGGCGCAATCATGGCTCACTGCAACGTTTGCCTCCTGGGTTGAAGCGATTCTCCTGCCTCAGCCTCCCGAGTAGCTGGGACTACAGGCACGTGCCACTACACCCACCTAATTTTTGTATTTTTAGTAGAGACGGGCTTTCACCATGTTGGCCAGGATGGTCTCGATCTCTTGACCTCGTGATCTGCCCGCCTTCGCCTCCCAAAGTGCTGGGATTACAGGCGTGAGCCACTGCACCTGGCCAAAATTTACTAATGAGCAAAAAAGAAGACCTGAATAAATGAGTTCTATTATGTGCATGTATGGAGAAATGCAACTTTCTAAACAAAAGGTGATTCTCTCCAAATTAATCTTTTTAATGGAGATAGGGTCTTGCTCTGTTGCCCAGGTTGCAGTGCTGTGGCATAATTACAGCTCACTGCAGCCTCGATCTCCTGGGCTCAATCAATCCACCCACCTTAGCCTCCTGAGTAGCTGCGACCTCAGGCGCATGCCACCGTGCCTGACTACTTTCTGCATTTTTTTGCATTGATGGGGTCTCCCCATGTCGCCCTGGCTGGCCTCAAACTCCCGGGCTCAAGTGATGTGCCTGTGTAAGCTTCCCAAAGTGTTGGAATTGCAGGTGTGAGCCACTGCACCTGACCCAATTTAATCTTTCTATTTAACACAGCCTCAATTAGAATCGCAAGTGGTGGTTTTTTCCTCATCAATATTAAAAGTGCACGTTGTGTTTTTTTGGTCTTCTTTTCCGAATTTGGGCAATCCTTGCCCAAAAGTTCTTCCAGATGAATTTTAGAGTCAGCCATTCATTCTCCAAGGCTTGAGTTTGGTGCCTCTTCATAATTCACACCAGGGTGTTATATAGACAAGAGGAGGCCTTGTAAAATTTGCGGTAGGAGAAGGTAGCCTTAAACAAGGAAGAACAGACGAAAGCTAGAAGGAAAGGATTAAGATATACTTGCCCATCTGCCCCCTTTCATGAGCAGACCTAAATAAGACTACACAAACCCAGCCTCAGTTGCTCTTGGCAGGTTAGCATATGTGTTACTTGATCTAGCCAGCCTTAGGACAGCTTTAGGTTGGAGAGAGTGTTTATCTGGGTCAAAACTGACTGGAGAGTAATCAGGAGTCAAAACTTCTTCTTTTGATCTCTTACGTAAAGAAGGTAGCCCCCACCCCCATACCCTGCACATCATGTGAGTAAAACAGTCCTGTTGCTACTGGAAAAGTCACTTATTTTCAATGCTTTTGTCCTTTAGGAAAGAATGCTCTGTCAGCATTCTTTGTGACCATGCAGTTAGGTCATTATATTACTTGGATCCTATAAAAAGACCACTGTAGGATCAGGATTTGACCAGTTTTTTTAGATGGAGTTTCACTCTTGTTGCCCAGGCTGGAGTGCAATGGCGCTATCTCAGCTCACCACAACCTCCGCCTCCTGGATTCAAGTGATTTTCCTGCCTCAGCCTCCCGAGTAGCTGGGATTACAGGCATGCGCACCACACCTAGCTAATTTTATATTTTTAGTAGAAATGGGGTTTCTCCATGTTGGTCAGGCTGGTCTCGAACTACTGACCTCAGGCGATCTGCCTGCCAAAGTGCTGGGATTAAGACATGAGCCACCACGCCTGGCCTTGACCAATTTTGATTGTGGTATTAGGAGACAGAGAGAGAGAGAGAAAAAGTCTTGTAGCTACTTCTTCCTTAGAGACAGAATTTATAAGGAGCCAGAAACCCTGATCCAAGAATTCTAATTTCTAATGATAAATCTGTTGGTTTGGGCCAGATCAGGGTGTGTTGTTTGAACTTTCTACACATTTTCTCTTATTAAGTTTCACTGAGTTATAAAAATAAGTAATAGTGCTGTTATTAACAAGTTAAACAGTAGAAAGATTTATAAAGAAAAATGAACATTCCCCCTTACTCCCCAATGCCACCCTTTCTTTTTAGGCAACCAATGCAAAAAACTATTTAGTGTATGTCTTTCTATTTCATTCTCTATGCTCACAGAAACACATATAAAGGACATACACATCATGTAGAATTGTTTTTATGTTCCCGCTGCATATGTTACTCTGCAATTTGCTTTTTTCACTTAACACATTGTGGATATGTCTGCAAGTTCTTACATATAGATTTTACTCATTATTTTTAATAATAGCATAATATTCTAAGATTTTTAACTCTTTTCCTATTGATGGACATTCAGGCTGTTCCCCTTTTCTCCTCCTCCTCCTCCTCCTCCTCTTCCTTCTTCTTCTTCTGACAGTCTTGCTTTGTCGCTCAGCCTATCTCAGCTCACTTCAACCTCCACCTGCCGAGTTCAAGCAATTCTCTTGCCTCGGCCTCCTGCGTAGCTGGGACTACAGGCACATGCCACCTTCCTGGCTAATTTTTAGGATTTTTAGTAGAGATGGGGTTTCACCCTGGGGGTGAGGCTGGTCTTGAACTCCTGACCTCAAGTGATCCACCCATTTTGGCCTCCCAAAGTGCTGGGATTATAGGCATGAGCCACCTCACCTGGACTCTTCTTTTTTTAAAATCACTACAAATGTTACAATAAAGATTATTGTACACATAAATAGGTATTGCTACATTTATTTTGGTAGGACAAAACAGGACAGATATCTGAATCAAAGGATGTGATGTGCACTATTAATTTTAACAGTTTCTTCAGCTGGGATGTGGAGTCACAAGCCTGTAGTCCCAGCTACTCAGGAGGTTGAGGGAGGAGGATCCCTTGAGCCTGGGAGGCGGAGGTTGCAGTGAGCAGAGATTGCATCACTGCCCTCCAGCCTGGGTGACAGAGTGAGACCTGTCTCAAAATAATAATAATTTTAATAGTTTCTTGAAGCAATTTATGCTCCCACCCTTTCCTCTAATCCTTGCCTGCCCTGAATGTTAGCAATCTTTTAAAGTTTTGCCAATCTAAGAAGGAGAAATGGCACCTCAACTGTTCTTCCTTTTGCTCTCTTCCAGTCTAGTCCCCAATCTGCAGATATAGTTATCTTTTTTGAAACACAGATCTTCAAATGTCACCTCCCTGCTTAAAATATTTCATTATCTTCCTGTCACTCTCAAAGGTTAAAATATTTGACATGGCCAAAAAGCACCTTGTGGGATGACAGCCTACCTGCCTGTGTGGTGGACTTTTCTCCTAATAGAAAGGGCTTTCTCAATTCTACTGAGAAATTGTGATGATATATTAGGCTGTTTGCCAGTATAAACCTCATTGGGAGCTACAACTGTTAATTTTTCTTTCTTCTTTTTAAAAGATGGGGGTCTTGCTACATTGGCCAGGTTGGTCTTGAACTCTTGGCCTCAAGCAATCCTCCTGCCTTGGCCTCCCAAAGTGCTGGGATTACAAACTTGAGCCACTGCACCCAGCCAAGCTACACCTTTTAAAATGTGACTGACTTATACCTGAAAGGAATAATTATTTCTATTTTATTTGCCTTGTTTTTTGAGTTGCTTCAGGCAGATCATTTAGAACAAACAGGGAAGCACAGGACTTGCCGAACTAAAAAGAAAAACATGTTAGGGCAGCACCTTGTCTGCTGAGGTAGGCAGAAGGTCTCATCATTAATGTAGGGGGTTTTTGCTTCTCTTGTTTTTAAGTCGGACTTTTAAAGTAGAAGGCGCCTTTAATGTACTGGTTTGCAGAAGAGGAAATCTGATTTTCAGTGTGATAACATATTCTTTGACATTAACCAGTACAGTTGGATTTTTAATGACACTTTCATCTTCAAAGGATTTACCAACACGGATGGATTAATTATTCATTTTTGGGGGGCTGTGTGTTAAAAAGACAAGTCTTCAAAGATGTCATCCTTTCTCCTTGGAACTGGGGGTCTCCACCTTTCAAATGTTGCTTTCCTGCCCCCAAGCGAGAAAATAAATGGCATTTTTTAAAAGAAGAAGAATCCAATGGAAAAATACTCTTTGCACTATGGAAAGATGATGTCCTTACATCCTGGGTGAGATGAGAAGAGGAGGTTGGGAAGCAGTATTTAAGATGTGTTTACAGTAAGCACTGTGAGAAATTACCGGCTAAGCGCGTTTGTTATTGTTCAGTCTTTTGATGTGCTCTTAAACAGTCGCATATATCCGTAAAACACCCTGAGTCAAACATAAGTTGGAACATAATATGCAGACCCTTATATTCTTTGCTAGTGTCTGTATTTTTCCTGTACCCTTCAAACATGCCTCATTGGGTTTTTAAAAGATTCCGCTTGGAAGGAGAAAAACCTCAAGCCTCGCCCCGGGTCTTCCTTGACTTGACACATTTGATAACCGCAAGAGAGCAGTTTTTCCTTTGATGAGGCTAAGACCCCAGAAATGAAAGAGCAAGTGTAAGTTTGCAAACACTTTAAAAGCTCCTTCCATTAGACCTGGTCGCGGGAAACCACAAAGGACAGTCAAGTGATTTTCAAGGAGAAAGCCTCTGGTCCCCTTTCCCTCCGCCGCCAGGAGGTCTGCAGGTTCCTGGGAGGAGCTCTTCTCAAATCCTGAAGATTGCTAGGCTCTTGGCGAACGACTCATCTCTTGAAGACCTAGAGTGGTGGATTATAGGCATTGAAAAGCTTTTGGTGGCTTTGGAAGATGACTCTGGTGTGAGCTCACCTTACCAGGCTGGGGGACCAGGCAGAGAAACCCCCTTTGTTATCTTTTGAAAGAAGATCAGCGGGGAAGACGGGGTTTGAAGTGTGGATTAGGAGGTCCCACGTCTTTGCCTACCACCTCTGCTAAATCTTCATAAAAAGATCGAGGAGTGCAATGAACTTCAGAAATCATGCACCGCTTCCTTGAAGCCTGTCCAGGAACCTAACTTCTGGATCCAGAAACTTCTCCAAAGACAGACCCGCTGAGCCAGGCAGTCTGCACCAGCACCTCTGCTTCTAAGATTCTGTTTCGTCTTCTTTTATTGAGAGATTGACCTCTTGGGTGATTTGTGTGCTTTCCGGCAAATGATGGAGACGCGTAAACCGGCGGGACTGCTGGCCTTGCCATACTCGCTGCGCGCCGCGCCCCTGGGTGTGCCGGGGACCCTGGCCGGACTCCCGCGGAGGGAACCCCTAAGGGTCGCCCTGCGTCTGGACGCCGCGTGCTGGGAGTGGGCGCGCAGCGGCTGCTCACGGAAACGGCAGTTCCTGCCCCTGCCGCTGGACGGCGCCTTCGAGCCCGCCTGCCTCCGCAAGCGCAACGAGCGCGAGCGGCAGCGGGTGCGCTGCGTGAACGAGGGCTATGCGCGCCTCCGAGACCACCTGCCCCGGGAGCTGGCTGACAAGCGCCTCAGCAAAGTGGAGACGCTCCGCGCCGCCATCGGCTACATCAAGCACCTGCAGGAGCTGCTGGAGCGCCAGACCCGGGGTCCCGAGGGCGCTACCGGCGCCGTCCCCCAGCGCAGGGCGGAATGCAACAGCGACGGGGAGTCCAAGGCCTCTTCGGCGCCTTCGCCCAGCAGCGAGCCTGAGGAGGGGGGCAGCTAGCGAGCGCCCGGGCCGGCCAGGACCCCTGCGCCCGCCGCATAGCGCGCAGCCGGGCGCTCAGCCTAAGGTCCTCTTCGAAGGTGGTTTGCATTCTTAATCTGGTATCTTCTCCAGGCCTAAATCTTAGGAAAAAGAAATGGGTACTGGGGTTTGGGGGATGGGGGAAGTGTTTTTACCTTTGGGAACTTCTCCCCTGCCCTTATTGGTTACGTGCCTGCAACTTATAGGTGCTTATTAAGGAGACACTTTTCCTATACTTCTAAAATGCAAACTGTTCCAGATTCTGAGCGCCTCCTTGTAAATATGATTGTTCTAAAAACTCAAAGGGCGAGAACAACTGGAATTTCCCACCTTCCGTGGTGTGGGTAAATTGTATACATAAATATTAAACCTTAACCAAAGAAGAACTTTACTGCCACCAAAACAGAAACAACCCCAAACAGCCAAAAACAGCCCTTAAAAATGAGAGGAACATTTTCTTGCATTCTTTCCTTTGGAAATTGTATTCGAAATGTAATTGAAAACAATTGTTGACCTCCTGCTTTGGGTGAAGAAGCCTGTAAGCTGCTACTTGAGAACGAATTTGCCAGCATGTGCTGTTGACTGTGTGAATGATGGTGCCGGGGAAGCCATGGCTTGGTACACACTGTTTCATCCAGCGGCCACGTGGAAGCTTCGTAGCATTGAGCAGATAGTAAAATGTCTTAGAATTAATGATCTCTTTGGAAGAGAGCCCAGATTTGTATGAAAACTTGCTTTTCCTCTCAATTGTTTTGTTCACTGTTTTCTTCATTTTCCTTTTCTCTGCATTCTGCACCGCCCCCCCGCCCGCCGACCTATAGCCCCCCATCTTAGTTTTGCACAAACTAAAGTGGCACTGTGACTTTAAAGATAAAAAAGAGATCTACTTGGAAGTCCTTTTTGAGGGTTGAGCCGGGTGGGGGAAAGATGTGGGACAAAAGGGATGGATTGAAGTTGGTACATTCTCAAATATTTTTATCACCATGGGAGCTTCCATGTACGGTATATGGAAATGATGCAGTGACTTTGGCCATGTTAAAAACCTTTTTAAAATATTTAATTTGGGTCTTTTTTTTTCTGAGAAACAATTTTGAGTTTGGTAGATAAGTTAAATGCTTGCTGATGTGTGAAAAGATCCCTAAGGTTGTTTTCTAATATGCCGAATTGTCCTTTCCATGGAGGCAGCTTTGGTTTGTGGGGGAAGAGGAAGGGGAGATGGAAATGGACAAAGAGAACTAACAGTGGCCGTGCATCCTCCAGGTGGATTTTACTTAGATTTTATTACCCCCTTTTACAGGTGTAGCAACTAAGGCAGGCTATATATTCAATGGACATCTTTTATGTGCTAGGAATTTTGTTGTGACTTTTTACATTTTGTCCTATTTAGCTTCATAAATTTGTGGGGTGGGTATGACAAATATTTTGTGATTTAAAAAAAATATGAGGTTACATACCTTGACCAGTTTAGTGTTGCTAGGATTCCTTGAGCTGAGATCAAGTCCTGAGCCTGAACCCAAAGCCGAGGATTTCTTTCTCCCTTACTGTGCTGTCTCTTGCTCTGTCATTTGCTAGCAGAGCAAATGTTGCTGCAGCTCAGTTTTCTTACCTGTACAGAAATGTTTACGGAAGTGTATGTGAACGACCTTGGTAATCTGCAAGGCACTAACCAATGATAAATTGGTAGTTTTATTATTTTGGGGGAAATACTATTTCTCAGTTTATGGAGAGTAAAGCCTGATTAAGAGTAAAATCTCGGCCGGGCGCGGTGGCTCAAGCCTGTAATCCCAGCACTTTGGGAGGCCGAGGCGGGTGGATCACGAGGTCAGGAGATCGAGACTATCCTGGCTACCATGGTGAAACCCCGTCTCTACTAAAAATACAAAAAACTAGCCGGGCGTGGTGGCGGGCGCCTGTAGTCTCAGCTACTTGGGAGGCTGAGGCGGGAGAATGGCGTGAACCCGGGAGGCGGAGCTTGCAGTGAGCCGAGATCACGCCACTGCACTCCAGCCTGGGAGACACAGCGAGACTCCGTCTCAAAAAAAAAAAAAAAAAAAAAAAAAAAGAATAAAATCTCCAGGTGGAGTTGGTGTGATTTCTTCAGTGTTTCAAAAGAGGGACAGAGTTACCTCCTTTGGTAAGGTTCTGAGATACATGCTTTGAACGCTAAATCCATGTTAAAACATATCATTGGCTGGGTGCAGTGGTTCACCCTGTAATCCCAGCACATTGGGAGGCAAATGTAGACGGATCACTTGAGCTCAGGAGTTTGAGACCAACCCTGGTACTGGAAACCTTAATGTGGTTTTATTTGAAGCCCTGTTGAGAATAAGGCAATGATTTTGAGAAACCTTTTGGAAAAATAAAAATAAAACCCTCTGTCAGCTGGGTGTGCTGGCTCAGGCCTATAGCCCTGGCACTTTGGGAGGCCAAGGCAGGAAGATCACTTGAGGCCCGCAGCATGAGACCAGCCCTTGGCAACATATAGAAACCTTGTCACTACAAAAATTAAAAAAACTTATCTAGGGTTGGCAGCGTGCCTCTATAGTCCCAACTACTCAGGAGGCCGAGGTTGGAGGTTTGCTTGCACTCAGGTGTTCCAGGCCACAGTGAGCCATGACCGTGTGTCTGCCCACGCTCCAGCCTGGGCCACAGAGTAAGACTCCTATTTAAAATAATAATAATAATTAAACGAAAGCCTTTTGCAATCATGTAACTTTTTAAAAGAAAAAATCATGCAGTTTTTCTGGGACCTTTCTTGTGACTTACAGGAGGAGCACCAATCCGGGAATGAAGCCTTTAAAAAGGTTTGACCTCTTTTTCTGTGAGTGATCGTTTCATTAACCCTAGAACAATTTGACTTTCAAAAAGAACACAATAAATTTCCAGTGAATTTTGTGGAAGCAAGAGTGGAGGGGAGTTTTATGGCAATGAAGCTTTCATAAAAGGAGAAAGATTTTCATGTCCTTCAACATCTTCCTTTTTTTAATTTTTCCAACTCAGCCCAGACATATCCCTTGATTGCACTTGATTGCACTGGGACACCCCACCCTGCCCTACCCGGACATGCGAAGTGGGAGGGGCTGTGTTGGGATGTGGCAGAGCGTGCCCTGGCTCTGAGACTGGATCCAGCTCTTGCCACTCATTGACTTGGTGACTTTGAGCAAGTCCCTAACTGTTGTGTTCTCAGTTTCCTATGCTAGGACACATGAAGAGTGGATCACATTATCTTTTAGACTCTTCCAGCTGGAAAACATCATGCATCCAACCTGTGCAAAGTCCCAGCTGGGGGAAGCGAATGTAATAAGCCATGCCCACTTCCTGCCACACAGCATGGTGCTTTCTGTTCCTATATTTCCCTCTTCCCAGTAGAAAGATCCAGCCCTGAGGCTGCGGCCTACTTTTTTTTTTTTTTTTTTTTTTGGACTCCTAGTTGCTGTTACCATTCCCAATTAAAACAAAACAACACAAAACAATCACCGAAAGCTTTATAATTTTTTTTATGGAATGGAACTTGAAGACTCTTTGCAAGCTGGTGGGGAAATAGACCCATTTTACCTCAATATGAGGAAAAAGGTATACATGGTATAACTGATATCCAAAATGGAAGATATGCTACGAGGAGCCAAAGAAAAGAGGGATTTGGTCCAGCCTCAGGTGAGTAGGGAACAAGAAGGAAAGGCTTTGGTGGATGCAGCGTTTAGTGGGTAAGAATGGAACGAGAACTCCAGGTAGAGGGAACAAGAGGAACAAAGTTGCTGAAAAGACAGGAACTGTTTGGAGAGCCCAGAGAGGCTGAGTAATAGGAGACTACACACGGTGGCTGAGGCAAGACTCTAGGGACATTGACAGCCAAGCTAAAACAGCTTGGAGGTGTTTTTTTAACCAATGGGGAACTATCGAAAAAAAAATTGAGGGACGGTTTTGGAGAAGGTATGTGCTTGAGGATCATGGTACCCCATTGGTAGGAAGCAGCGGACCAATAGGGTATTGCCATAATTAAGGGAGAGGAAATGAAGTGGGGGCCTGAACTCTGGCAGTGTCATTGGGAATGGGAAGGGAGGGATGGATTGGCAAGTGGAACTGATAGGTCTTGGCAACTCAGAGGAGGGGGATGGGATGAGGAAGAGGGCGAAGTTAAAGACAACTGTGGTTGAAATTGAGAGCACAGAAAGAGAAGTGGATTTAAAATCTAAGAGTCTTGTTTTGGAGATGCTGAATGTAAAATACTGGTAGGCTACTCCTGCCCACAAGCAACTGAAAATGCTGATGTTGAGGTCAAGAGAAAAGTCAAGCATAGCTGTTTCTTTAAGAGCCACACACTTATGGGGAGTAGTAGAAGTAGGTGTGATCTCCACAGGGGAATGTTGATGAGAAAAGGAGAAGAGTTGGGCATGGTGGCTCACACTGGGAATCCCAGCACTTTGGGAGGCCGAGGTAGGAGGATCGCTTGAGCCAGGAGTTCAAGACCAGCCTGTGAAACACAGGGCGACTCCCCCATGTCTACAGAAAAAATTAAAAATTAGCCAGGCGTGGTGGTGCATGCCTGTGGTCCTAGCTACTCGGGAGGCTGAGGTGGGAGGATCACCTGAGCCCAGGAGGTTGAGGCTGCAATAGCCGTGATAGCACCACTACATTCCAGCCTCGGCAACAGAGTGGCACTGTGTCTCAAAAAATATATATAAACAAATAAATAAAGAGAAGAAAGCAGGGAGAGGCCTGCATTGAAGGTGTGTCAGAAGAAGAAATGTCTTTGAAGAGAGCTGAGAAATAGGAGCCAGAGAAGCTGGAAAGAGAATCAAGCTGGTATGAAATTGTGGCAATTAAATGAGTATATAATTATATAAGAAAGAGGGAGTGGGTGACAGCATCCTATGAATCAGAGGGGTCAGGTGGTTTAAGTACGAGGGGAACTCACTGGGTTGAGCCCTTCACTCTGGCCCCAGTTTCTCTGCAATGTGCCGCGTGAGGCAGGGCCTAGATTGCTGTCCTGACTTCAGCACTCTCTATTGCTAGAGACCTCTAGCAATAAGAGCAGAAATAGCACAGTGGATTGACGAAATGAGAAGTAGAAGTCAACTTGAAGACTGCCCTTTCTAGATACTTCACAGTAAAGGGAGAAAGAGAGCTGGGCTGGTGTGACCCAAGTGGAGGAAAGGATGGGATACCAAAGATAGTTCTGAGCCTGAGGTCTTACAGGTAAGACCTAGCTGATTCAGAGGCTCAGAGGTGACAAGGCTTTAAGGAGTCTGAAATCAGGTGGAGGTGAAGGTCCTAGGAATTGGAGAGATTAAATAACTGGGAGGGCAGAGGGTTGGAAGGTAATGCACTAAAACTAAGGTAGGTTTTTAAGTCATTGAAGAAGATGGAGCTGGTTCTGCCATTTGCAGACAGTGGAGATGAAAATGAGATGAGGGTTGTATGAAAAGTATACCTGCATGGGTTTAATATTGTTCCTTGGTGGTAACTAGTTTCAAAAGCATTGAGTTATCAGTTTTTAATGACTTGGTTAAAAAAAATGACACAGATCTTCTCTGTAATGGCATTTTAAATGATATTCATATTTATTTAATAGTATAAGGTTTTGTAACCATAAATATCTCCAGAAAGTTCTGCAGTGTTTATTTATTTATTCATTTATTTATTTTCGAGACGGAGTCTCACTCTGTCACCCAGGCTAGAGTGCAGTGGCGCGATCTCGGCTCACTGCAACCTCTACCTCCTGGATTCCAGCAATTCTCCCACTTCAG